CCTTCCCTTTTCACAAAGGTTCATCCTTAGGCAACCTTGCTTCTTACTTTTTTATTCCAACAAACTTCCCTGAGCACTCTGACCATCTCTTGTGCAATGAAATAACACCTACTAGATTCCGGTGGCTAGCAATTCTGTATTTAAAAATTTTTTTTTCAACGTTTTTAATTTTATTTTTGGGACAGAGAGAGACAGAGCATGAATGGGGGAGGGGCAGAGAGAGAGGGAGACACAGAATCGGAAACAGGCTCCAGGCTCCGAGCCATCAGCCCAGAGCCTGACGCGGGGCTCGAACTCACGGACCGCGAGATCGTGACCTGGCTGAAGTCGGACGCTTAACCGACTGCGCCACCCAGGCGCCCGCAATTCTGTATTTAATGCTGGTTGAACATAATTTTAACCTGCATTCCTCCAGATAAGTAATCTCACAATTCATTTCTGTGTTGGTTTGCCTCCTTTCCTTCCTTCACATGGTAATACTTGACCTGTCGGGTAAGTATGCTGACCACATTAAATTGGGTTGCTTAACAACAACAACAACAACAACAACAACAACAACAAAAACAAATTAAGGCCTCCCTATCATAAGGTGTACAGGGACTTAAAGAAAACACCTTGGAATTTTATAAACAACCTCCTTCCCTCCTTCTCTGTCTCTCTCTCTGAAATTTATTCACATCACCCATAACCATTGTGTCTTACCCAGTCTCTACCTGGGAACACAGCTGCTTTTTTTAGAGTCCTAGCATAAGCAGTGACTTTCACCCCTTACAACTTATATTATCTCTGCTCTCACTTGCTTCTATAGCTTCATCCTCCACAAAGGCAGGTCTTCATGCATCACAGTCATGAAGTCTTAAAATGAGGCAGGAATACTTTCTAAGATCTGCCATAACCTCTCTCCTGATGCCCTTTGTAAGCTGTGCAGTTTGTTTGAGAGTACCTTCTGGGAAGCTGCAGGTTCAGCAATAGCCCCACTCTATCTGGCCGAGTCTCCATCTCATACGCTGTTAAAATCCTCCCCAATTTTGTGTGAAAATACATAAAAATATTCTTTTTATTGATATTTATTAAGTTTTTACATTCCTATTAAATTTTTCTGACAAGAAACATAGAGAGCACATCATCAATTACTCAAGAGCATCTTAGCACCAGTGCACATGCCCGAAATCTTGTGGGACAATGCAGTGAGGGCCACATGTTTCTCTGTGCATGCAGGTGTTGCAGTATTGGAAAGACCCCCTAAATTTATGGATATCAGAACTTAGGTAAAGCAGCCGGCCTATCTGACAGAAAGAGGGACAGAAACAGAGACCTTTGCTCCAAGGGGTCAACACATCCTCTCCAGACAGAGGGAAGGGTTTAGGTGTATTATTCTCAGACTGTAAGTTGGAACATAAACAAAGGGATGTGGAAAAGGTATGTTTCCAGATCTTCCTGAAGCAATGCACTAGTCTGAAAACCATGGTATGTTTGCTATTCAATCATCCTTTAACCCAGATGCCAGTGCTCTTTGCTCAGAAAGCCCAGACTGTGCAGAAATGGGAAAAGATGTATGGCCCAACAATAGTCACCATCTCATTTCTCTTCTAAAAAATCTGATGCCAGCTGCCTATGGGATATCTACAGTCTGAGGCCCCAAAGGCTTCTCAATGTGACCACATGTAAAATGGAACATATCACTTACACACACACACACACACACACACACACACACTCTCTCTCTCTCTCTCTCTCTCTCTCTCTCTCTCTCTCTCTCACACACACACACACACACACACACACACAACCTCTTGATCCATCTGAAATCGTTTTACTCAGTGATACCACTATTCTTCTGGGTGCCCAGGCCAAAAACCTGGGGGTAATTAGAGTCTTTCCTCTTCTTCACTCGACACACAGTCACTGAGTTCTGCCAACTTTTCTTCCTAAACAACTTTCTCAATCCAACTCAAACATGAATACCAACCAGATGGTCAGTCACATTAATGGTTTTGTTTTTAATTTTGTGTGTGTGATAATGGTAGTATGTGTACTTTCCTTGTTAAGAATTCACATACTTGGGAAACATGCTTAAGTATTTATACATAAAATATTATATAAATTTCAAAATAATCCAGTCGAGGAGGTGAATGGGTGAGAGTATCATGAAACAAAGTTGTCCATGACTTTATAAGAACTGCAACTGGACAGTAGGTTCATGGGGAGTATTTGTACTATTTCCCTGCTTTGTAAGTATTTGAAATTCTCCATCATAATTATTTTATGAATCATTGTTCCTCACTGGCTACTGAATTACATTCAGAAGTTTTTAAACACATTACTCATCATCTCTTGCCTCTTCCTCCTGACCCATCTTCTCCTAATCTTCTACATTTGCAAAAAGTCCGTCAAGTATGACTGCTCATATTCCCTGTCTTTGTATGTGTGTAGCCTAGCAAGCATAATGCCCGTCCTACTTTAACTGCTCAGCTTTGTCCACTCCAAATTACACTTCTTTCATGAGTCCTCAGTGTGTGGACAAATATGGTGTAGGATTTGTTCCTTCTCTGAATTTCCAGAAAATATTTGGTACCGCTTAGTACCGCTTAGAATTTCACGAGTACGTGAAATTCTTTCCCGTCATCTAGCTGGTGCTTCTGTACTATTATTTTCCCTTCAGTTCTCCAGACCACACCCTTCCTTACTACCACAATAGCATCAATTTCAAAATTCTTAAAATAAAGCAAATGAAACTATGTTTTACCTACCTTTTCTTTACCTATATTGATCCTTGTACATGGAAGAACTCAATAAATGTTTGCTCAATTGACTTGTCTATAACAATTCAGATGAGTCAAATAACCAATTGCATATTTAGTAAGACTAGCTAAATATATAATTTTTGAGAATTTTTTTTGAAAATCAGCATTTTAAAGGTGTATATTACATAATGAACTTGTGGTTGGTGACTTTTTTCTCTCAAATATAATGTAGATAAAAATTTTGTAGTTAACTTATAGGATATGTTTGTTTATTCACTTAGTCAACAAAATACATTGAATACCTACCATATGCTAGGCATTTTTTTAAGTTCCAGAATCCCAGTAGAGAGCAAGACAGATAACATTCCCTGCACTCATTGGGTCTAGTCTCGTGGTGTAGAAAGACCAGTAGGTATATAATTTAATGTTAATCATAAATAGCATGTAGAAAAATGAAGAATACAGGGAATACATGGTAATTAGGGCTGCTATGTAAAATAGAGTGGTAAAGAAGTCTCTTCTTAGCTGAGAAAGAAGGAGGGAACTAGTCATATCCATGTCCTAGAATGAAAGGATATTTTTGGCAGAGAGAACAGCAAGTACCTTGAACACCAAGAAACCTTGAAGCAACAAAATGCTTGGCATACTTGAACACAAAAAGGTTAATGAGGCTGAAATGTTCTAGACTCAATAGAGACTAAGAAAAGATAAGATTAGAAGGTAGACAACATACAACCAAGTAATTTAGAACTTTGTAGGCCATGGTAAAGATGATGGGTTTGATGAAGATGCATTAGACGATTTTGAACAGAGGAGAAATGCGCTCTGCTTTATGTTGTGAAAAAATCTTTTCGGCTCTTGTGTGGAGAATTGACTAGGTGAGAAGCAAGACTGGAAGCAGGAAGTTCATTAGGTAGCCATTGCAATAATCCAGATAAGATGCAATCATAGATTAGCTCAAAGCTATAACAAGGGAGGTAATGAGAAGGGGTCCAATTCTGGACATGTCCTGGAAGTAGAGTCCACATGATTGTCTAACAACTTGCATACCGGAGACTAAAAAAAAAAAAAAAAAAAAAGGTCAAGGATACCTCTAAGGTTGTCAACCTGAATAACAATTAATTGATATGTCGTTTACTGAAATGGGGAAAACCATTAAAAGAGAAGGATAAAGGGGTGCAGTTCACAATTTGGCTGGGGTTACATTAGGTTTGAGATGTTCATGGGACATCCACATGCCAAGAAAGCAGTTGGATTTGTGACTCTCTTTTCCAAGTTGAGGTCAGGGCTGGAAATAAAAGTTTTGGAGTCATCATTGTGTAGAAGGTATTTACAGTCATGTGAGCAAATAGGAGTATAGATAGAGAAGGAAATACATGTCACAACGAAGCTAGAGCACTCCAGTATTAAGAGGTCAGTCAGAGAAAGGTTCAGTAAAGGAGACTGAGAAGCAGTGGACAAGAAGGTAGAAGAAAAACCATCAGAGTTCAGGTTACAGAAGCCAAATGAAGATAGAGCTTTAAGATGAAGGGAGTGATTCAATTGTATTGAGATGGGAACTGTGAATTACGTACTCAATCTGAGCCTGTTGAAATCACTGGGCTTCAGGTATGATGATTTTAAAAAGTCAGTAAGTAAGAACTGCAAGACTGATCAACAGTATCCAAATGATGGAAAGAGACCAAGTGCCCATAGACTGATGAATGGATACAGAAGATGTGGTATATATGCAATGGGATATTACTCAGCCATAGAAAAAAGAAATGAAATCTTGCCATTTGCAACAATGTGGATGGAACTAGAGCGTATTATGTTAAGTGAAATAAGTCAGTCAGAGAAACACAAATACCATATGATTTCACTCTTATGTGGAATTTAAGAAACAAAACAGATGAACATAGGAGAAGGGAAAAAAAGAGGGAGGCAAACCATAAGAGACTCTTACCTGTAGAGAACAAACAGACTTGCTGGAGGGAAGGTGGGTGGGGGGACAGGCTAGATGGGTGATGGGCATTAAGGAGGACTCTTGTTGCGATGAGCACTGGGTGTTATAGGTAGGTGATGAATCAATAAATTCTACTCCGGAAACTAATACTGCACTATATGTTAACTCTCTACAATTTAAATAAAAACTTGAAGCACTAAAAATAAAGAATCGCAAGACTGTTATTTCTGGGGTTTATAAATTTCTTTTTTTTCCCTCTACATAGACAGCTGATTCATTTCTGAAAGTGTTTCAAATTTTCTATATTGCAGAACATAAAAGACAGCCTGCAACAAATCTCAGGTCGGATTGACATCATTCACAATAAGAAGGCAGCAGCCTTGCACAGTGCCACTCCTGCAGAAAGGGCAAAGCTGCAGGAAGCTCTCTCACGGCTCGATTTCCAATGGGAAAGAGTGAACAAAATGTACAAGGACCGACAAGGGTAGGTAACACTTTTATTTTCCTGAATTATAAACTTATTTTCAGGGAACTCTAGAGTTCTTTCCAGTGTTTTCCATGGAAAGGTAGGGAGGAAGAGAAGGGAGAAGTATTACTATCATTGGAAAAAGGTAAGTGGAGCGAGAATAAATACTGATGAACAGACTAATGAGCTTCATTCTCGCACTTATTCTCTACTGGGGTTAACCTTATGTCGGAGCACTATTTCCTTTGAAAATTTCACGCAATGTTAAAAATAGGTTTTGTTGGTTAATTGAAGTGGTTTAAAAAAACGTGCACTCAAAAATGTGTATCTTTGGTCAAATCTGTGTCCTATATAGTTACAACATATTGATATTTAGATTTATATGTTTGAAATGTAAGCTATCAGCGAAAAGTTGATTTTCATTTATTGCTTCTATTTTGAAGGTGGTCCTAACATGTTGAAGTCCCCCTAATCTTTTTGCTATGATGAATTTGTGAAGTTGATTTAAAATGTTTTCAGTGTTTACCTGAATTAACATATCTAGCTTTTGACCAAATTTTCAAAAATTCATATGCATTCTTTAGCCTCACACCACAAGAAGGTAATATATTGTTTTCTTTTCAAATTTTAGGTAAAAAGTTATGGAGTCCTAATGATTTAAATTCAAAACAGTTTTAAAGATTTGTAGTCTCACTACAGTCTTCTTTATTCTAAGAGAAAATAGAATCATGTTTAATAATTATCTCGAACCTCCTTAATGACTCTCTTACCTATCCATTTTGAAATATCCTTACTTCTATTTTAGTTCTTCTTTTACTACAGTGGGTTTCTAAACTGGTACTTATAGCAGAAATCTCACTTATTTCTAATAATCATTCCCATTTTATCCCGTTATTTTTCATCCAGAATTGTTTTTCTGACGTGTAAGAACTTCAGTACTGGAATCTCATTCTCCTTACTATAAAGTACAGACACTTAATTGGACATTTAAGGCCTTCACATGACCCTTGTTTTTTTGTTCAGCCTTCTTATCCATCCCTGCCTGTCCTACAACATCTCCAAATTCTGTTCTAGCAATATGAAATTGATTTGAAGATTCCCCAAAATTTTGTGTCCCCTCTGGCCTTTGTCTCCTACAGGTCTCACCTATGAGTTGATTATAAAATCTAGGAACTTAAATATTCTTTAGACATTTAGTGTAATATCAAATCAACATTCCATTTATGGGTTTGCAAATATTGCCAGACTTGGTGGCTGTCCCCGCAGAGTACCTGCTCTGAAGTGACCTACTCCTAGAACTTACAACATAGCAATCAGTTTGTTTATTTTTCTGCCTACTACACAACCTCTTTATTTTTTTTATTTTTTTTAACATTTATGCATTTTTGAGAGTTAGAGAGCAACAGAGAGAAAGCAGGGATGGGGAAGAGAGAGAGGGAGAAGCAGAATCCGCAGCAGGCTCCAGGCTCCGAGCTGTCAGCACAGGGACCAATGAGGGGCTCGATCGAACCCACAAACCATGAGATCGTGACATGAGCCGAAGTTAGAGGCTTAACCAACTGAGCCACCCAAGTGCCCCACCTTTTTTTTTTTCTTTTCGTACAAGCTCCTTTGAAGACAAGAGCCATATTTTATTTTGTGCAATATTCTCAGGGCTAATATGGTACATTTGACTCTTGAGCAATTCAGGTTTGACCTGAAAGGGTCCACTTGTTGTTTTTTTGTATAGGTAATTTTTTGATAAATACAATATAGGAATATGAATGTACTTTCCCTTCCTTATGATTTTTTAAATAATATCTTCTTTTCTGTAGTCTTATTTTGTTATAAGAATACAGTGTATAATACATAAATAAAATACATGTTAATAGATTGTGCTTGTTATCAGTAAGGCTTTCTGATGACATTAGGCTGTTAGTGGTTAAGTTTTGGGGGAGTCAAAAGTTGTATGTGGATTTTTGATTGCCCAGGGCATCAGCACCCCTAAGACCTACACCATTCATTGGTCAACTATACTGAGTTTAAAGTGGATGTGTAGTGTGTCTGGATTCAAGCTTCCTCCCAGAAATCTGACACTATTTCTCCCTGGATCATTTAATAGTTTATCTCAAAATACTGGAAAACATTTGATCCTAGGGAATCCGAAGCCAGTCTTGGTAAAACAAAAGAAACTCAATGACCCTGCGTATACACTTGCAAAAGGCAAACTTAGCATGCCACCACAGTGCACCTTTTCTCGTTATCCCACTGTGAGTCATTATGAGCCTCTGCCAGCTACTGCAGTGAGGTCAATGCCATCCCTCTTTTTAGGGGTGTTCATTCGACTCTTGGGGTGTTCCTGTCTCTGTTCTTTTCTCTCTGTTTTCTCCTAGCCATCCAGATCAGCAACACCACCCCCTACGAACCATGGAAGGTTCTTGAGTAGCCAGTGCCTACTGTGATTTGTAGACACCGACCACTCTTGCACTAAGGCAGAGGTGAAACGTTTTGCTTTTTGAAGCTTCTCTCCCATATTATATATGTCATATTTGGCCATTGAGCTAGGTATTCCCTTCCCACAGGCTCATACAAAGGTTTCCCTTTCACTTTACCTCCAACCATAGAGTTTCAAAGAAGCAGAAGCACTAATGCCAATCCACTAAGTGGGTAAACTGAAATCTCACCTGAAACCTAGGGTCTTTCCTATGTCTGGCAAAGGATAGAGTACCTCTAACCCTATTAGACTCATTCTTCTCTTATACCCAGTGGCTGGAATTAGTATCCTAATTTCTAACTTGCCATTTCTAGGAATTGGTCAGGAGCTCTTCACTTTCTTTTGACTTCTAGTCTAGTCTCAGGTAAAACTGTTTTAAGTCATTGCTTATGAGCACAGGCTCTAGAATCCAACCTGTTTTGGATTCCAGCCCTTGCTGCTGGCCAGACATGGGCCCTTGAGCTAGTTCCTTTACTTGGTTTGATTTACAATTCCTCTCTATATAAAATGGGATACATATATTTTCTAAGCCATAGAGTTCTTATGAGGATTAAGTGACACATTTCATGGAGAGTGCTTAGTGGGTTGCTTATACATGATAATGACTCAATTAAGCTTGACAATTTTGATGATAAAAATGATGGCATTTTGGCTTTGGTAGTCTTTATGCCTTCTAATTCATTCTTATATTTTTCCCATTTTCCTGAGCACCACATAGAGATTACTAAATTTAGTCCCTGCTTAAAGAACTCTCCATTCCTGGAGAGAAATTGGACAAACAGGCAGTAAAATATAGGCTAATAAATATGAGCTATGCCAGATGACTAGAATAGCATCCCTGGGGAGTGGAATAGGGACATCTTACTCAGAATCTGGAATAAAGCAAGGTGTATGGACCATTCAAGGTTCTGAGTCACAACTAACAGAAAGTGACTTTGGTTACCTTAGAATTATCTAATTTATTGGAAGCATATCAGGTAGCTCATGGAATCAATGGAAGGACCTGAAATCTAGGTTTAAAACTCATCAAGGTAGACCAGGAGAGGCTTCCAGAAATACATCTAGCATCAAGTTACTAGATGAATGTGAATTCTAAACTGCTGGCATAGCCATGGTCCACTGGTGCACCAGAGGTACCATTGCCAATGGATATTGCTTGTGGCTATCCCTGCCAAAAAGTATCTAAATAATTACTTCTTTTCATGTCATTAACTTTAGAATTAAGGTTTCTTACAGAATCATCTGATACAGCAGAGGATGGATTTTTTTTTCTCTAAAGGGCCAATTAGCAAATATCTTAGTCTTTGCAGGCCCTATAATCTCTTTTGCAACTACACAAGTCTGCTGTTGTTGGGTGCAAGGAATCACAGATGATACATAACTTAATAGGCATGGCTTGTTCCAATAAAACTTTATTTGCAAAGATAAGTGGCTGAGGGGTGCTGGGGGGCTTGGTCGCTTAAGCATCCGACTTTGACTCAAGTCATGATCTCACCTTTTCCTGAGTTTGAGCCCTGTGTCAGGCTCTGTGCACAGAGCCTGCTTGGGATTCTCTCTCTCTCTCTCTCTCTCTCTCTCTCTCTGTCCCTCTCTCTGCTCACACTCTCTCCGTCTCTCTCAAAATAAATAAATAATTAAAAAAAACATTAAAATGACAACGAAGGTAGTTGCTTGACCAGATTTTCCTGGTAGGCTTTAAATTGCTAACTCCTGTTGTAAAGCAAGCTTAGGTCATATAAGTAGGCTCTAACTGCCACGGGTAAGGGAAAATAAATAGCTGGAGTTTGGATTCCATTGTAGTGTTAGGTCATGTCTCCCACCAAGGCTCATACAAGGGTAGATTATTGAATCTTTGGAGAATCAAAAACTATACATTCATAAATAAACACATTTCCCGTACAGCATTCATGTTGGGTCTCAACAAAAATGTCCTGAATCTTTTTTTTTTTTTTTCAACATTTATTTATTTTTTTGGGGACAGAGAGAGACAGAGCATGAACGGGGGAGGGGCAGAGAGAGAGGGACACACAGAATCGGAAACAGGCTCCAGGCTCCGAGCCATCAGCCCAGAGCCTGACGCGGGGCTCGAACTCACGGACCGCGAGATCGTGACCTGGCTGAAGTTGGACGCTTAACCGACTGCGCCACCCAGGCGCCCCTGTCCTGAATCTTTTAATAAGCTAACCCTTGAGCCAGTAAGAAGGGCTGTATTGGTATATTGTATGATAGTGTATTAGTCAACTATTACCCTAATATAGTGGTATCAAGCACCCCAAAACTCAGTGACTTAAAACAAGCATTTATTCTCATGGCCATGTATGTTTAAGTTGCCTATGGTTTGGCTGAACTAGGCTGGGCGGAGCTGGGCAGCTGTTTCAAGCCATGGGTTAGCTGAGGTAGGCTCCCGGATATGTGTTGGTTTAAGGTCGGCTACCTTTTTCTGGACCCAAAATGAAGGGTGGCATGCTTTTCTCCTGACAGATCACCAGAGCATGGGCCAAATTTAACCTCCCTTGTAGGCTTATGCTGATGTTATGGAGCACTT